ATGCAAAAATAGTTCAAACATTGGAAAACAGTTAAAAAATTCACGCACCAGCGCATGAAAGCTGAATTCGAAATCTTAAAGGGTGAATATTTTTATCCCGATTTAATAGTTTGCCCGCCAAAATTTTCACGAGGCCGTGTTGACACTCAAGAACGTGGGGACGCTGAATTTGAGTAGGCGAGGTTGAGCGTGTGCAGTGGGTCATTGTCCTGAAATTTCAGCCTCCTAGACTCCGTAGTTCCCGAGATATTAATTTACCCGTAAAAAACTTTCACAGGGCCATATGTGTTACCGGCGGGTACGGGGAAGCTGAATTTAAATTTCAGGGGTCACACGTGGGTGGGGAACGTTCCCCTAAATCTTCAGTTTACCTAGCTTTTGTGGTTCTCGAGTTGAAAGTTGCGGACAAGTTGCTGCGGACACACACACACACGCACACACACAGCCCCGTAACAATTGTACTGCTATTACACAGCACAAAACGCATAAAAAGGAAAAAATAAAAGAAAAAGAAGCGAGGGTGAAGGAGCCAACCAGTTAGCCAGTACTGATAGTTAAACAATGCTACCGAGTATCAAAAGAAGCTCGCCGATTGCTGGTGCAGTATCAGTAGCTTTGTCCGGCGAATAATTGCTGAGGCAGTGCATCAAGCTGGGGCGACGTAACAAGTGCTTTCATCGTTCAAAGAGAATTCGGTCTAGAGGAGGAAGTTTTGACCGATGGGAAGAGTAATGTGAAATGGGACATTCAGAGTCTTCTACCAATTTGACATTTTTGGCCAGCAAGTTGAATTTTGCAGAGTTTTAAGCATGCCACGGCAGATTTACAGTGGGCAACACATGCACCGCTGCTCGCTGTCATCGATGTTAACGCCAACCTCTACGTTTATCACGTTGATAAAGAATGTAACGTGTAAGTTTCGTTTCTGCAAAATCTAAAATTATTTGTTTCGGGATAGTCATGGCTTTGTGAGAAATTTCAATCACAGAGAATTGCTGTCAGCATGTGCTATTAGTGGAATTGCAACAATGGAATTTTCTTTATGCTGTAGTTTAAGGTTGGGATAGAACTGGGCATTTGTCAGGTCCGTCTCCAAGGAATTTAATCTCCAAGTTGGATTTGGACCATACGTGAATGCGGAATATCCTTGTAAAATTTCAATCTGCCCGGTAGGCAAAAATCAAAATAAATTTTAAATGAAAAAAAGTTCCAAAATCAAATGTACTGGCTATATACGGAAGCAATCCATTTTTATGTATGCCCGGGTTACATTGGTTTAAAATTGCCTCTTTTATTTTTATCCCCTCTCTTTACGCGGGAAAAACTTGGTAACGATCTCAACGCGGTCTATGAGTAGGTGTGTTCGGGAATGTCCAGATTACAAAAAGGAAAGCTTGAAGTGACTAAAGCCTGCCCAAGTGCCTTTTTCAAGAAAATGAAGCGAATGTAGCATCGCCAGAAAATTGTCCGTCAAGCAATTTAGCTTTGATCAGGGCAGATACGCAGATGGAAAAATGCTTAATTACAGCTAACTGATTTATTTCAGTTTATTTATCAGATGAAAATCGATTTCAGGACGAAATATTTGAATATAATTCGTAAGGAAAATTCAGTTCCGTTTGGTGTCACACCGCGAATCTCCTGGTGTCCATTTATACCAGAACCCGATGATTCACATGAAGACCTACACATGATCGCTGTTTATTTCGTTAGTTTTTGCCAGCGGGCTGTGTTTAAAATCAAATTTCTGACTTTGAAGCTTTATTTCTTTTCGAGGGACTCGTCTTTTAATTTGTGCGACTGTGCACATCCACTTTTTGAAGGTTATTTTTTTTTTCCACCTCCACTCCTCTCTCTCTCTATACGAAGCAGCAGCGGCTGTTGTTGGTACGCTTTTAATTACATTGAGCTACCTTTTGAGGCCTGGTAGAGTTGACAGGTGTAGTGCAGTAGTAGTTAGTGTTGCTTAATTGCTGAAGATTAGGGGTCCAACTTCACCATTAGGACAACCAGCTTTTTATTTCGTCTGCATTTTTTTTTCTTTTGTTTCGATAATAAATTGGTACTGACACATGCCAGGGAGGCAGTGAAAATGCCATCAGGCTTGATTCTGGGTAACCCCAAACGAGTAACCCATCAACAGCATTGCTAGAGGATTATTGACTTTAGCACTTGGTACGTCCGCAAATATCTCTGAGAGCGTCCCCGTTTCTCACGGAACGTTAAAGCGGAGCATTGACTTCTTTTGCTTTGGTATGGATAACATTTAAAAAGAGATTGAAACCCTAGCAATACTAACATCCCATCTTTGTCAGAAATCATTGTTTTAGCCACGGCCAGTTGATTGATTTCACTTGTCCCTTAAATGCATGCAACTGGCAGTGGTGCTGTGATGCGCAAGTTATCATTTTGCAGGGGAACACGGTGGAAGTGATATCGTTGAGTGTGATAAAATCAGAGTTGCAGTGCGAGGAAGCCACTTTAGAGATGTGCATGGCAGTGAACGATGCCGTGATAAAACTGCCCATTGAGGATACTCACACGGTTCGCTATGTTCCTTTTCCAAACTCCCTCTTTGTTCATGTATTTTTCATGCGTTTTTTGTAGCTATGCAATGCAAAACGCATATTGACGAGGGGTTGCCTGTGTGTTCCTGTGTCTGTGTGTGCGCCTGAAATTTCAGCTCTACAGCTTTTATACGTCATCGCAAGACGTATAAAAGCTGTAGAGCTGAAATTTCGGGAACTTAATCTACATTCACGTGCCGGCTCCAATCCCCAAAATTGACGTCATCACCCGCGTACGGACCTGCCAAAATTTTTTTGGGGTAAGTTCATAACTCGGGAATCTAACAAGCAAGAACGCTGAAATCTTAGGGTAATGTTCCCCGTCCAAGTATGTGATAACTCAGGAGCCAGGAAAGCTAGAAAGCTGAGATTTTAATGGGCTGTTTCCTACCAGTTCTGGCGGCCAGTCTTAATTTGTTCAGCTCAAGGCATTTTTCGAAAAAACCGATGCCGGTAGCGACAAAAACTGCGGGAAACTATGCAAAAAACGCATCTTCGCACG